AGAGCAGTAGTTGGTAGAAAACGGTTCCTTTCGTTGAGACCTTTAATTAGAATACAATGAAAGAAAGAAAGTCACCCCCAAAGCACTGGTGAAATTCGGATTTCTTCTTTAATTTTTTTCTCAGCAACCATAAGAGTTATTCGGGTATTCCCTATCTGATTTTGAAAAAAAAATTCAAAATTCCTACCACGAAAGAGCGCACCTTTGCTTGGGGGTGCGAAAAAAATTCTGATTTCGACGAAATTTGGTATGTGGGGGTTTTTGACCATGAAAATGACGAATCTGGAATTAGTTTTTGAAAATTCGAAAAAAAAGTTCCACTGCAATTCTTGGCCGGACAACGAAAATGGAGAGAATTCCACGAAATTGTTGTGTATATACTTGATGAGTTAAGGAATAAAATTGTCGAACAGTTTTTTTATTAAAATAACTTTTCAAACAAAAGTTATACTCATTTGAAGATTGGGCCTTCGGGTTACAAAGTGCCCCCCCCCCCCTACTAGTGAGTGATCTTATTTTGCATGTAGTTAATTGAAAATGTTGCAAATAACAAAAAAATAAGGATTTAAGTCGTTACCCGAACAACTGCGCATGCGCGATTCGACCCTTTTATGTCTAAGAATAGATTTAGCTCCAATCGGTTCAGCAGTTTAGCCGGAAATGAGAGTAGAGACAGACCGATATCATACAGATTTTGTTGGATTCGGATTACTGATGCATCAAAACGTGTATTTCCTTAAAAAGTGGGGGTCATTTTTTTTCCCAATGCAACCCCCCCCCCCCCCCCCCCCACGATACAACGAGTCAGCAATAAGAAACATCGAAACCAGTGGCGTAATCATCGTGGAAGTAAAATTGACAATTGTACCTATTATACATCGTGAAAATAATAAAACCAGTGGCGTACCAACGTGGAGGTAACATTTTCGAACCTGTACATTGTGAAACACTACAACATGTCACCCAAAAGTGGGGCGTTAGTATGAGGATCCATCGCACACCCCTTTCTCGAAATTACCTCGTCCAAATACAGAACGCACGTCTTCGAGGATAAACCTTTCAAGACTATAGTTCAATTAATCTTTCGAACGTTGCGGGGGCGTTACACAAGCTAAAGTACATTACCTTAAATTGCCCTAAACTCAATTCTGTGCTCTATCCAAACCAACTTGCCAGTAGCCGCTTTTATATCTAAGGTGGAAAACCGTTTTGTATTCATCTATTCGGGGCAACAAATAACTATCTTTCTTTGTTACGTTGTTCAGTTGCATATAATTTACGCAAAACCTCGTGTTGCCATCTTTCTTTTTCACTAGCACCATAGGTCCACAAGTTCAACGGCTGCTGGATGGTTCAATTATTCCTTGACAAGCCATTTAGCCGATCATCTTCTCAGCTTCAACACGTTTAACCCATGGTAGTCTGGGATGTTACTTAATAGGTTGGGCATCTCCCGTATTTATTTTACGAGTTACCATATTGGTTCGGCCGACAAGTCCTTTTCTGAAGCAAACACGTCTTGCTAGAGGCAAATCAACCTCTTAGAATGGTTCTTTTGGCTTGGCCAAATTCTTGCGTAAGGCTATGCTCATAGCTTGAAGCCTCTCTAGACACTTCAAGGTGTACTTACACAACGTGCGCGACTGCAGCTACTGGGCCCTTCTTTAACTTGGTCGGGAATGAGTTCAAATTCATTAGCCGAACAGGCGTTAGTTGTTTAGCGTTTACTAGCACCTTACCAATCAAAATTTCTCGACCTATTAGCCTTTTTCGCAACACTCCGGAAAGCTGACATCATCCACAAGCATTACGCGTAACAGCTCGTCTCCTTCCCTCTGAACAGGAACTTCTTCATGATCTATTCCAAGTACCCCATTCTTCAGGTCTATCGTAAACCTCAATTTTCTCATCAAGTTCATTCCCAAAATCAAATCACCGACGATGTCTGCTACCCCACACCTGACACCAGTGCAACGTAAATTTAATTAGGCGGTTTAATTTATTTACAATTAAGTAACAATAACTTTATAACCGTCTTAAAATATGCATTAATTTATAACAGTAATTATTATTTATCACTTACAATTTATAACATAACACCAGCGCATCGAAGTTGGAACTGAACACAAACACAATTCGATTTGCTTATATAGCATACGACGATTGTTCTAGAATGTTCTTAGAACACTTCGGAATGTTCTAGAATAAACGCGTCATTTTTCTCGGAAAGATACGCTTTCGTTCTTTATCGCCGATGCCTCATTATTCATGACGCCTCAATGTCTATCAGGATTTCTGGAATATTCGAATTATAATGTACCTCCACGCTGATTTTTTCGATTTTCTTGGAAATATAAAACGTTAGACTTGCAATATCCGAGCACCAAACAGCACTACCTAACGATAGTATGTGTTTTTTTTTAACTGAATGGGGTGAACTCACAATATTTTAGTATTTTTTTTTCTCGGAATCGAAGAACGTTGGAATCGTAATCTTTGAGCACAAAACATCACTAACGATCGGGTGTGCGTTTGTTTAAAAAAAGTGTCATGGGTGGGGACTACTTCACAATATATTTAGTTTTTTTCGTTTTTCTTGGAAAGATGAAATATGGAATCGTAATCTTCGAGCACAAAACAACACTAACGTTGCCCTAATAATTACATGTGGTTTCATTCAATTAAAAATGTATGGGCGGGGCTATTTGTCTGGTATTTAAACATCACTAACATAGCTATTTCGATAAGTAAAAGTTGGGTGTAAAGTTGACCCCGCTTCGTTTTTTTAAAGTTTTCTCATGTTATGTAGCAGCACTAACGATAAGCTTCGAGCACTAAATATTACTGTCGATGCATTTTTGTCAAATTATTTCATGTGGGCGGGGCCAACTTTATATGGGTAATAATTAAGAATCTGGAAAAGTGTCTTATGGAATACAATAGAATACGGTTCTGGTCGGTAAGTAATCTGAGAAAAGATCGGGAAAAGGTCACACGGGGATCAACTCTTGTCCGGCGTACACTCGGGGATATCATATGGCCTGGACTACCTACTTACAGGATTACACATCGGGTCTGGAGTACATACAGGAATACGTTTCTGATCAGGAGCAACATCAGGTTAGGTGAAATACCAATTCATGCATTTATAGGGGACAAGGAACACAAGTGGAGAATTAAGAAGGGATTGAATTTCAAATTCAGGACATCTAACGGAGGAATTTTACAAATAAAATGACTTCTTTACCAATTTTGATATTTTGTTACTCTCTTTACTATTTAATGCAATTTTATTAACAAAAGCAAGTCAAATCGTCACCAACGTCAATCACAATTGTTCCACCCGATGCGAACTCTCATCTTAGTACCTAGAAAATTCAAATAGTAAGTAAATTTTTCTGATAAGGAACGGTTGATGTTCTGGTAGATTTACTCATTTAGGCATACGTGAAGAATAATTTTCTTTCGCCGAAAATTGTTGAAAAGTGTAGGTATGTTATATACAGCATTACCATGCATTAAAAAATCAAGAACATTTTTAGCTACTCATCTTTGCATACGATCAATTATATGGCAGCTACAGGAAAATACGATAAAAGTATTACAACGAGCATGTTTAAAGTTGTTTATCTTCAACATTTTTCATAATCGGGCATTGTTCTTTGAAATAGGCCGACGTATAGTATTTAACGACGACTGTTATTGTGGAACTAAAAATACCCTACATTTGTTTACGACACCATTACTTACCCAAACACGATAAAGGGCGCCCAATAGTTGCTACTTGCTGCTGTCAATCATCTGTCAGACAGTGATTACTTATTTAGCTCACCAAATAGTGGAGTAAATTACGGTCGAAAACGTTATGAATACGTAGTTTGTTTACACAAATTTCCAAATTTGAAATCAATCTATGTTAAAATGGTCAATATAAATAGGGTAACACGTACATGCCCACACGCAACTTGTTACTCTCGATACGTCATGAACGATCATCTTGATTTTAAATAGAATTTTAATACTTCTACTTAATCTACATTTTGTTAATTTATAATTGGTATAAATCGTTTAAATTGCCAACGAAGTGGCAAAATGGTAATAAATTACTAATAGTGAACTTTTTAGTTTCATTAGGGCAATTAATGTTTAATCACATACTTAACATACATGGAATTACTATTTAATGTACGGTAATTATAATAATAGCGAATAATTGAGCTTGGGAAATTGCATGCTTTGATGATGCAGGTGCGAGTGCCTAATTACAAAATCTATACAGTGAAAAGAGAAGGTCGACTTAAAAATTACTTGTACTGGACAAGTAAACAACACGATATAATGCAACTACTGGATAATCATGATAATTATTAACACCAATTCCCCTATGTTTGTTTATGGTGAAGTTGCCATTAAAATGTTAATATCGCATATAAACCTTCAAAGTCTGAAATATGTTCAGTAAGTTATAATTCTATTTTTTTAATACTGAAAAATGTCTATACAAAATCAGTTTCATGGCAAAAGCACAAATTTGAACATAGTACTAGACAGAGAAAAATATCAAAATTAAGTCGCAAACGCGCAATTGGCAGCATTAAAGAAGAAGAAGAAGCCAATAAAACTCTAGAAATGAATTAATTTGACAATTTTTAGATGCAACTCATTTAGCACAAATAACGAATAAGACACCTACACTTGTATTGGGTTTTTCTTAAAGGCAAGACTCCACCACATTACAATTATTATAATGTCCACGTATGCTTTAAAATTTTTTATTTAAAACGTTTTACAATGTTACTCACGAGTCACAACTCGCAAAAATACATTTTCATTAAAAACTGCATATAATCCGAACATCGCCACCGATACGATGCGTAAAAAAAACTAAATAATGTTAATCGAATTTCATTTATTAAATATAATTATTGTTTATTTGCATTAGGTGTACCGGGGACAACAATTCACTGTAAATGTTTTACAAGAACTTACACTAAGAAAAATCGATTGTATTATGTTAAATACAATATTGTTCTTGTACTACTAAACGTAACTCATTTTATTTTTAGAATGAAATAATTTCATTGAAAACATACCGTTTTAACTCTAAAGTTGTTACATGTTATAGACATAAGATATTACTGGAATGCACTCCTAAATATGACGTGTTGTTGTTTAGAACACAGCATGCTTACTATATACACACGACGACATTAACTCATCATACGATGCATGTTAATAATTAGAAGATCGCCACATCTTACCAATTGAGCTGTAGTGTATCAAATTTAGTAGGTGTCGATTTTATTAATACTTATACTGTCTTTATGAAATGATCCCTTGATGACCACATCACTAACGTACCTAAATCAATGGCTTCTCATACGTCAGATAGATAAACAGGCACAGGCAGACGGACGGACAATATAAAAAATAGCAGCATTAATGTCTATTAGATAAATTTGGATGTGCATTCCATAAGATACTTATTGTTTATTACTACATTGTTTATTCGTTTTTGCAACAATATGGGATAACTTTGTATAGTGTTTTTGGATTTCGGCTATGACCTTTTACCGTAGTCTCTAAATACCTACCTCATAAGGAATTTGTGACTCATAAAGGATGTCTTTAATTGAGACTTTACATCTTTTTTAAAACAATACGCATTGAACTAAATTAACACAACTCAATTTTATAATTAGGTAATATAGCACTTTCTATAATATGATACACGTTATCTGCGAAATGTGCTATTTTTATTTTAAGACAAAGAACGCGAGTAAGGTAAATTCAGATTTCTTATTGCAATTATGCACAACCTAATCGTGGTTCTCCATTACGACTTTTGCAGTACAGAAGTTCAGAAGCTTTCTTCGCTGTTAAATTCGTGCCATACCTACCATTGTTTAAATTTTTGTTTAATAATTAATATTATCACTTATGTGATTTAATGGACGAAGAGACAAAGTTGTTGTTAAGTGAATGGGGATTCCAGTCCCACATCGATAAATTTTCCGGTAAGTAAAACTGTTTTCATTGAGTTAGATCGTTAATAGTAATGCTTTTATAGCAGAATATGATCATTAGACTTTTCAATTTTCATTTGTACGTTAACTATAACTTTTGAAAGTCAAATATCTGATACTTTTAATGGTAATTTCAGAAGAACAAATAGACTTGGCTACATTAAGGCTGGTACAGGAATCGGACCTGCAGCGATTGATTCCGGTGACAGGGCCGAGGGTAAAGTTTCGGTGCCATCTAGAAGAGTGGAGACAAAGATTAAAAGCAGCCACTAGTACTTTCAATGTTGAACCAGAGGTATGTTTGAATTGTTTGGTTTCTTTTATTATTAATAAGAGTCCTCAAATCCTTTATAGTTTTGTATTCATTGTCCGTCCACACGTGTGTGCAATAATTCCTCTAAAGCCTCCAATCACAACGAAATTCTATATCGAAAGACCTTTTTCGGTGTAATTTACTTACATTTATAATTTATTGCTTTCAGACCTTCTCAGAAGGCGATATCTTGGATATCAGTCAAAAGATATTAGAAGCAACAGGGTACAATAACGAAAACACCTTACCTTTAGATTTTTACCAAGGAGAAGAATTTATCGAAGATCAAGCTACGCAGGAGGCAAAAAAGCAAAGGATTGAAGGAACCACACATAGAACTGATTTTGGTTCGACCAGTCAAGGATCATCTTGTTTAACAGATTACAACAAAACTTACGTACGTATTTTCGATAAAAACTGACTATACTGATGACAACGAATATTGTTTATTGGGAATCGTAAATATTTTACAAAAATGTTAAATTGGAAAGCTTATAGGCTCTTACTCTAACAGTGCAATAGGTTGTCAGCTCGGTTTTCAGGCATCTAAATGTATTACTTCCTATACAAGGTTTTTTTATTTCATAGGTTGAAACTGTACTTAGTAAAAGTGTAGAAGGAAAGGCATTGATTCAAAGCGGAAAAACTGGAAAACTAAATGATAAGCAGAAGAGGCTTTTAGGAAAAATATTAATTACCGATATTCTAACTGCCAACCCAGATAAGAGACTGACGGAAACAGAATACACACAACTTGGTTTGGCCATTAATAGCCTATTTCCGAAAGAGCCAGTTGCGCTATACTATAGTGTCAGCCTAGACCACACGGCGTACTCAACCAAACGCCTCGCAAGAGGAATACTTTTGCAGGCGTGGAACACAAGAAGAAGACAACTTCGGCAATTAGGAGAAGTGAAGTATACGCCAAGGAAGAAGTCTACTTCCAGTGCCAACTCTAGCCCTTTTGATTCGCCTATTGGTACACCACTCGTTCTACATGAAGACATAGATGAGGTTGAAGATGAAAAATTGAAAACGCTGCGAAGCACAATCGAGCCTTGGTCTGTCGTGGAAGCGGCTTGGAGAGACACAACAGCTACACGACTAAAGAAATTGGAAAAGGGAAATACTACGTTGGATGAATATTTTACAGAGTATCCTGCTTTAAAACAGCCTCTTGGATTTCGTTTGGTAAGTTTGCATTCGTTTAACCTATTATGTTATCAAAAATCTCTAAACCTTCCCCATATATTTTATTCGTTGAAGTATGGGGAAGGTTTAGAGATTTTTGATAACATAATATATTTCAACCCCATTTCGAGGAACGATGGATCCAACTCAAAATTTCGTTTAACCTACCATAAACCATAATACAAAAAGAATATTTACCATTATTATTTTGTATTTGTATTATTCTTGTTATAAACAAAGCATCGTCAATATCAATAATAGTATAAATGCAATTGACCAGCTTTTTATGACCTACAGTAGTGATATTTAGACCCGGGTATCTTTCAAATGAAATAGTGTATAATTTATTTTGTTATATAAGATTTATTCTTTTCAGCTATGTGACGATTTCTCATTTACCTTTCCTAACAAGGACAATAGTCTCACAAGCAGTTTACTGATTATGCGGGATCAGCTGATCAGGATTGCAACGGATAAGGCCACAAATACCAGAGACAAAGATCTAAAGGATACTGTTCGAGCGTACCTAGAAAAAATCACTGGTAAGTGTTAACAGTACATATTTATGAGAAGCACACTAAGTCAATTTTAAATATAGATTATCAAATTGTTACACTGTTTATTGCTGAACTATCACAGTTACATAAGTTTATACTTGGCATAGAGTTTATACCTAGTAACAATAATATTCATCACAGTCAAAGCTGGTTAGTTCTAGCCATTTATGGTATAACCCGTAGATCCTGTAATTTAAAAATTTTTATAATATAACACAGGTATAAAAAATAATTGCGTTTTCATTTTCAGATGACAAGCTGGATTCTAAGAGCGAGATTGCACTAATTTTGCTCCCTTACATTCTTTCCCTTCAACCGTCCAGGAAGAAAAGTGGAACTCTTGCTTGGAAACCTTCCAGGAGCGAAGTGCGTGATGGCTTTATTACACATGTAACATGCGCGGGAGATGTAAGATCAACAATCCAAGAAAGAAAAAACAAGTTAACCAGGTTAGGTAGAACATTCCAGCCATTAATCATTGTTGTGGGCGAGAGTATCGTTACTTACAGTGTTTGTCACGTCATTATTAATGACACAATCTATCAACTTCCAACTTTGTTGAAAGCTGTTGATACAGCATTTCAAATTTTTCATGCCACTGGTGCTAAGTATCCGAGCGAATCGGAGGATGTTTGGTTAGTGGTACAAAGATTATTGTATTCAATAGAAACCAAATTTGATAGACTTAACCAAACCGTATCTTCTCTGTTGGCTGAATTTAATTTGCTGCAATGAGTTTCACTTGTTACTCATGTCAAACTTTGTTTAAAACTACCACATCTCTTCTTAAACACATGCGCATGTTCTGTGAGCAGCGTACTCAAGGTACAATGGATTATCGTTGTGGAGAACATAACTGTTTCAGACATTTCTCATCGTCCCTGGCGTTTAAAAGGCACTTACATAATGTACACAAAGAAAACTATTGTTTGGCTCGTCCAGATGATAGTCCGTCTTCAACAATTGCTCGTGATGCTATTTTTACTGAAACCATTGATGAAACTGAGCATAGTCGCGAGTTCAACACGACAAAAGATATCTGCTCTCAAAATTTATTAACGGCAACGGCTTCCTTTTTACTTACACTAGACGAAAACCCATTGTTACCTCGGAGTACAGTCCAGCTTTTTATTAATGAGTTACATAAATTTATACTTAACACAGTTCAGGCTTTAGATAATGAATTATATTCTTTAATTAGTAAAGACGAAATGCCAAAGAATGCGCAATTAGCTTTTAATACGGTCTTGTTGGCATATAGTAATACCTTCGCCCCGTTTCTCACCGAATATAAACGATTACAGCATTTTGAAAATCTAGGAACATACATAGCCCCCATCCAGGTAGTGGTAGGGCAACGAAATGAAATCAAACGCTCCCCTTTGGGTTCTACTTTGACTAATGTTAATTGCACTATGCAGGTTGTACCTATAAAGGCAGTACTGCAAAAATTCTTTTCTTTGCCAGGTGTTTTAAGAGACACTTTAAACTATTTGAATTATTTAAAATCATTTACAAATCCTATTATTAATCTGGTTCAGGGTTCTGTTTGGAAAGATATTGAAGAAAACAACAAAGGCAATCACATTAATTTACCATTGCTTATATATTTCGACGACATAGAACTAAATAACGTGTTAGGGTCAAGAACAAGTTTACAAAAGATAGGAGCAACGTATTGTTCTGTTCCGGTTTTACCGCCAGAATATATTTCTAAGCTAAAAAATATCTTCATGTTGGCATTATTCCATGCCTCCGATAGGGCTCAATTTGGAAACGAAATTATTTTCAAAAATGTTATTGATCAGTTGAACGATTTGCATGTCAACGGTATACAAGTAGAAACCTCCGTATATTCAGGAGTTATAAAATTTCACGTTGCATCTATTATTGGAGATAACTTAGGTTTGAACAGCATTTTGGGTTTTGTTGAAAGTTTTGTGGCAAAATATTGCTGTCGCTTCTGTATGGCTGAACGGAAACAAATTCAAAAAATGTTATACGAGGACAAGAAATTACTACGGAATTGCAAAACTTACGATAGGTGTTTAGAAATGAAAAACCCAACCGAAACAGGTGTAAAAGAAAGATGTGTGTGGTTAGAATTAGAGGGATTCAAACTTTTCGAACATATTTCTGTTGACATTTTACACGATTACTTAGAGGGTGTTTGTCGCTATGTAATGGAGTTTGTAGTAAAATATTTGGTGCATGAATCAAAACTATTATCCCTTAATATACTCAGAGCCAAAGTAACCGATTTTGACTATGGTCCTGACAAATCTTCTTCACCAGAACATTGCATTGTGCTAGACGGTTCTACTGTTCGAATTAAAACTACAGCTGCTGAAATGCTTACGCTAGTGAGATATTTTTCTTTAATGTTTGGAAATTATGTAACAAAAGAAAATGACGTTTGGTGTCTTTTTTTGTGTTTACGTGAATTGCTGGATAGACTTCTCAACTCGAGAGTTTACAGCGATACTGTAGAAATTATATCGCATCTTGTAGCCACGTTAAATGAACAATATTGTGAACTATCAAAGCTAAAACTCAAACCTAAATTTCATTTTTTACTTCACTATCAAACGTTAATGGAGAGATATGGTCCGCTTCAGCAGCTGTGGACAATGAGGTTCGAAGCTAGACATAGACTATTAAAAATTACAGCTAGGGCGACTTCCAGCAGAGTAAACATTTGCAAAACTCTTTCCATAAAAAATCAACTAATAATGAACAGTGTTCTCCAAGGGAATATACCCGCTTCATCTTTAGTTTTTGGCAAAACTTTTCATCCTTCAATTAAGCATAAAGACCTTATTAGAGAAAATTACGAATCTGATCCGGAACATTTACAATCTGTTAAGTGGATAAATATTTTGGGACATAAGTTTACCATTTCGTCGATTATTACTGTTGATGTCTGTTTAAAAGCCAATCATCCCCAATTCGCGGAGGTAATAGCAATATTTATTGATGACAACAGAGACGTTTTTTTTTTGGGGTCATCACTAAAAACGATAGATTTTGATGATCATTTGTTTGCATACAAAGTAAGCAAAGGCGGGGATACCGTTTGGTTCAGTTACAAAGATCTTGTAAATCCTGTGCCGAATCACTTATCTGTAATTAAAAACAAAATGTATGTAACTTTGAGATGGCCACTAGATTAAGCGAATCTTCCATTTGTTCATGTTTTATTAAATTTTAACTACCATACTTTAAAATGCGTAGGCTTACCTACCTATAGTTGTTATTAGAAAACTGTTTTAATTTCTTTACTTTTTTTAAATAAATGCTAAAAAGATATCGCCTTTGATTTTCCCTTCAAGTTACCTGATTCGATTTTGCACGTACCAATAAGTGTGTTTAACTGGTTCACGTGTATCACTTAGTATTATACACCATATACATACAGTCTGGTTCATAACACTACGAAACTCTAAAAAGATGTTATAGACGATAAAAAATTTGTCGTATGTGTAACATTTTTTTTAGTATGCAGTACTTTTTTGAACCAGCCTGTACATTATGTGGAGCTGTAAATCTAACGTTTTGTGTTATAACAATATGTCACCGACAGTACACATAATATTAATTACCAATACAAGACGCATTAAATTTTAATACGCTGCATATTAGCAAAAAAGCAAGTCATATTAAAAAGAAATAATGATCGTATTAGTTTCAACATGGTATATATTAAAAATAGAACACACCATATCAAGTTAATACCTTATATAGTAAGGAACTGTCGGTGCCGTATTGCAGTAAAGACCGCGCATATTTAAGAAAAACAACAACGTATTATCTTTTACTAACATTCCTACTAACTTAAAGAAATAACGTCTTACTGATAGTTAAAATCATCTTAAAGTTAACATGTACTGCAGTTAACAATCGTACTAACAAAATGAAGACATCTTTCGCTGTGATACAATAAACCCGATTTAAAAGCTGCAACATATCAAGACGTTAACGTATTGCATATTACATTAGTTAAAATCAACTTACGTCATTATAGTAGTGACGTCAAGACTTTTGTACTAATAAGTAATACGCGCGCAAGTACCTTAACGCGTTAATATGCCTCGTAGTTGTTTGACTTAGTCATGTTTTGTAACAGATTTAGGACACATTATTTCAAATTTGGTCGTTTTTTAACTATCTTTTCGCTTATGGTATTTATAGCACTACACGTTACTGTGTTTAGTGTTAACGTCATACTGTTTCAAAACGCCATTCAGATGTATTGAGCGGGAGTTTTGTAGCTGACCTCAGTTTATCTTAAGAATACATGGAATTGGGGAATTAAAGATTATTTTTATTTCCGTAACTGAAGTCTGAAAATATGTCTTTAGATGATATTGATTGATTAATATTGTCAAACCAGAAGAAATTGACGGCTGAATTTCAAAGTTTCTGGATTTATACTGTAATATCCTTTGCCAAACCATCAACACTGAAGAGGGAATCTCAAAAATATTGTCAATTATTCGAAATATTGTTAATAACATTGCTTGTGAACGGCTCGCTTTAGGCTACTTGAACCCTTTAATTCAAACAAAAACCTTAATTTATTTAAAAAGTAAATATTCTTATAGCCAAGGCAATTTTCTCAATTCTATTTGAAACCGATGAACCTTCAACGAGTATGTAAGTGGAAAGCTACAATTAAAGTCAGCTCTTCTCGGTTCAGGCATTATACCTAGGTATGTGGTGGTTTACAGATGGAAGGTTGAGTTACCTTTTGCGTCAAAACATACGAAAATGTATTAGCTATAAGTATCCATTAGTAACAAATTGTTGAACTGCAGGTCTGCAGAACTGCATTTGTATAGGGCTGAGCCTACAGTCCATTGGAACGAAATGCCAAAGTGTGGAAACCAGTTTTAAAAGTCAATTCGAAAAAGATGACGTGTCTGTTTTGGACACGTACGATTGTTGAAACCAAAACCACCATTGGCTTTTCCACCACATACCTAGGTACTCTCAAATCTCCCATGGAAACATATTATAAGTCGTTAAAGTTAGGTACTTGAAAAATAAACACGACCTGCAGATATAAAACCACAAGTGCTAAAGGTCGTTTCACAATATTTAGTGCAACACTAACTTTGTGTAGTAAAAATAAACCTTTCGCTAGGATTCCCTGATGGGAATTACTAACTTAATGTTCGCATATAAATAAGAGCGACCATTGCGATCATTCATCAGTACATACCACAGCATCTCATAGAGATTCATTGTAAAAGAAAATAACAAAACATGGTTAAACACGTCTTCGGATTGTTCTTGGCGGTCGCGGTTGTTTCGGAAACTATGGCGCAATTTTTCGGAGGTGGAGGTTTCTTACCAAGTGGAGGAATCGGTGGCATGGGCGGTTACAAATATGGTCCAGCATGGGGATCGCTTTCAGGAAGTTACGATGGGCGAAGACTAGGTCCGGTGGATGTTGGCGGAGGTGCACACTTCAAACTGCCAAACGATGGATTTGCCGGAGCACGGGCATCTGTACAACCGGGAGTTGGTGGTACGAGCTCGTTATATGGAAAGGTCAATATCTTCGATACGCCTACGCATAGACTAGATGTACAAGGTCACCACGATCGTTTCTTAAACAGAGATTTGAAGCCCGTGGGACCAGCAATAAATGAAATTGGTGCAAATTATAAACACGTAGGGGGCGCCACCGCGCATATAGGAGCTAGTAAGATTGGTAGCGGGCCCATTCAAGGATCC